TCTGGTGGGGACAAGGAACAGGGCCTTCTCGATGGTGGCCCCTCGGCTCTAGAACTCTCTCCCACTGGAGATTAGAACTGCCCCTTCTTTCCTGACTTTTAGAAAGCTGGTGAAAACTTGGCTTTGGAATATAGCATTTGATGAGTGAGTCAATAACTCTTGACCACATGGACGGATGGTGTTGAATTGTGATTTCATTCTGACGACTTGGTCTTATGTAATTATATGTTTGTATTTTAATGTATTTTATGGATTAGTGTATTATGAAGTGTGATGTTTTTATACTATTGTTTATGAATCTCTTGTTGTGAACTGGCCTGAGTCCCTCTTCGGAGGTCGAGAAGACCGGGTTATAAAAGCTCTAAATAAATAAATAAATAAATAAATAAATGTCAAGATCTATTTTCCCCAAACTCCACCAGTGTTCACGTTTGGGCATTTTGAGTATTTGTGCCAAGTTCGGTGCAGATCCATCATTGCTTGAGTCCACAGTGCTCTCTGGATTTAAATGAATAACAACTCCAAAACTCAAGGCCAACACCCACCAAATCCTTCCAGCATTTTCTGTTGGTTATGGGAGTTTGGTTCAGTTCCATCATTGGTGGAGTTCAGAATGCTCTTTGATTGTAAGTTAACTATAAATCTCAGCAACTACAACTCCCAAATGACAAAATCAACCTCACCCCCAACCCCACCAGTATTCAAATGTGGGTGTATCGGATATTTGTGCCAAATGTGGCCCAGTGAATGAAAATACAACCTGCATATCAGATATTTACATTACAATTCATAACCGTAGCAAAATCACAGTTATGAAGTAGTAACGAAAATAATGTTATGGTTGGGGGTCACCACAATGTGAGGAACTGCATTAAGGGGTCGCGGCAATAGGAAAGTTGAGAACCACTGCTCTAGAACATGGCCATATAGCCCAAAAAACCCTACAACAACCTAGTGATTCTGGCCATGAAACCCTTCAACAATATATTTAACATGCCAGCACTTATTTTTATAAGTTCTCTGGGCAAAAATCACTTACTAATCAATCAAGCATGTAGATTATTTACTTTTAGAAACTATGAATGGTAGGAGTAAAAGTTAGTAATATTAGGGATGGTACAAACATATACTAATGCCCCATTAATGTTTGCAAATTAGAAACTGAACACTCTCCACTTCCAATAGGCAAAACATTTTCCAAGGCAATTGGATCTCTCATCATTTTGAATGTGACAGGATCCCAAGAGTAAATAATGTACAGATGTTTCAGTATGGACATGATGGCATTTTACATCTGGTATTTTGATTTCCACATTTTCTTTGTTACAAAAGGCAAATGAATTAATGGAAGTGAACATGGTGCTGGTTTCATTCCCCTTTAAAACCCAGCCCTAGGTAATAACTATTGAAAAAAAACAGTCCTATTATGATTAAAATAGCACTTGAGATGAGGTACCTCGTATTTATCATTTTGCCCTCCAGAGGTTTACTTCTCCTAATCTTCTACCATTTTAAAACTACACTGTTGTCATTTTTTGCTATGCTTCTTATAGCTTTCTATTGAATGGGGCCATATTCTGATCATACACACAGAGAACATAGTGGACTTTGTCCAAATGTTCTCTGAAATCTTTCCTTGCCCTCTATCTTGTTTTACTTCAGTAGTTTTATGAATCATAGAGCAAAGAGCTTTTCTTTAATTAAAAGAAAACCCTTGACACAGGGAAAGGGAGCAATGCTAGAGGGTGTATTGCAAGGAGTAAAGTGTTAGATGAAAAACTGTGTTCAGTCCTGTTATCACTTCAATGAATTCCCTCAAACCAAAAAAGTATAACTATTTTCCTGTACTATTGGGTTTGGCAAAAAAGATCTTAGCAAAACAAGAGCAACGAGAATAGTAAGAGGTATAGAGAGAAAATGGATGGAAAAGTTGAGAGAACTGGTATATTCAGCCTGGTGAAAAGAAAATTGTACCTCAAGGATTGCTACAGAGAGGAACATACAGGTTTGGTGTCTACTGTATTAGGGACTAGAACCAGGTCTAATGGTTTTAAGTCACAGGACTTAAGTCACATGCCCCCAGTGGCGCAGTGGGTTAAACCCCTGAGCCGGCAGGACTGAAGACCAACAGGGTGCAGGT